ACCGATTTACGCCCCATCGAGCTCAAGGAGGAGATCGGACGTCCTCCTAGCAGGTAAGCGACATAAATGAGTACAAAAAGCGCCAAGTCCAGCTTCCCAAATCGCCTTTAAATTCACAAATGAAAACCAGGCAAGTTTTTCGCTGCTCCGGAGAGCGGCCGCCCTCCAGCCTGAGGAGCAGCTTTCCCAGCGCATCTCAGGAGACCTCCCATGGCCCACGCGAGCTTAGTTAGAAGCCATCCCATTTCTGCTCCCTGCCCGCCTCCAGATAAGAAAATCAAGGTTGGCCTTGACTTGTTTGCTGCGCATCGCTGGGCGCAGCCCGGCCACGTTATCACCCCAAGCAGGGATGATTCACAACTCGCACGTACAGGATCGAGGGCACGGGGGAAAACAAGCCGCGCAGCTTGCGGGGACCGCTGGAAAAGATGCTTGGGCGAATCGAGTACAAAATCACTTTAGGGTTGTCCCCCACGGTACGCAAAGTTGCTGGGAGAAGCCAGCCGGAACCTCCGGGAATAGTTACTTGCTTGCTGGTTTCCGAGAGTGGCAAAAAAATAATGGTTAAACCTCCGGTTGTGGATTTTTTTGGCAGGATTGGTTCCGCTGGTTTGTATCAACTGCTCAGCTCAGGGAGGAACCGCCAGCTCCGTCCCTTTTATCAAAACCCTGGCGATCGGCAGAGATCCCTCTCCCCGTCCCGAAGGGGAACGTGCTGGTAGGAAGAGGTGGTTTTTAGTTAAAATTAAAAATAAAATGGTGCAAACGCCACATCGAGGGGAAGCCCTTGAGCTGCGATTTAACGCCGAGGCCCGAGGCGGCTTAGGGGCCCCCGGGCATCGCCCCCGCAAAGGCAGCATCCCCGGAGACCCGGGTGGGGAACGCGGCTTTCAGCGTAAAGAGGTCCGGCCGCTGCCTCTTGAAAGCTTTCATTTATTTTCATAGGGCTTATTAAGCTTTTATTAGAGCAGGACAAGCCCGCGCTCAGTGCTATTCCCTGCATCCCGGCTCTCTCGCTGCAGTCCCAGATTTGCAGTGGGAGTCATAACCTCTCTCCAAACCTCTCCTGCCCCGCAATGATTTTTCCCTTCGTCCCACCGTTGCCACGGACCCCGGGGGGATCAGACGCGTGCCCCATTGCCTAATTCGCACGGCCGGCTGCCGCAGAGCCCTGCCGCCCCTTCCTACGTCACCCCGGGAGCATCAGGCGCCTGGCGATGGATTTCCCACTCCAAAAAAGCAGGGGCTTCCTTCCGGAAACGTGCCACCGCCCCGACGCTCCTCTGCCTGGCTCAGCCTGCTCCCTTCCCTTGTCAAATATAAACCGCTTTTAAGTGAATCGTTACCGAGCCTGAGCTGCGGGCGAACTCCAGCCAAGCCTGTGCGAGCCTCCAGCAAGTCCTCGGTGACCTGCAAACGTCCAGGGGGGCCTGGAGCCGCGGGAGAAATGGTTTCAATGTCGAGAGCCCAGGTCTGCTTTCGTGGCCGCTGCGATTACCCCCGACCTGCTCCGCGGGGACGGTATATTGATATATTTTGCATCGGTCTCATGCCACTGGAGAAGCAGGATAACACCCTCCCTGCAGCCCTTCTCTGCTGGGGAAGGTGTATGATCTAGAAAAGGGCATATATTAAGCAGAAACTGCAAAAATGAAGCTCACTCTTTGTGGTTTAAGTTCGGCTTTGGTATATGAAGAGAGGCTGGGCTTTAAAAAAAAAAAATTAGAAATATCAAGAACATCATGTTTAGACTCGGCTGCTCCTGCCAGCGACCTCGGGGCCGGCATCTGTTGCGCCTTCCCCGCCGTGGGGAAGCGGTGAGGGCTGGAGGCGGCGGGAGAGGACTAAAGGAGATGCTGGAATCTGGGGAAGGAGGCGGAGGGCAGGGCAGCCAGGGATGCCCGCGGATTGACGGGCTGTGGGGCGCGCATCAGTCAGATGTAGAGATCTTTACCATAATGATGATAACGCCGATAATTACTGTTATTAATAATAATCCTGCCTAGCTCTTCTTTCCCAAGCGTTGTGGCAACAGGACCTCCGTGACCCTCGGTGCATGCCCCGGGGTAAGCGCTGGCCTCACCCCGAGATGGGGGAACTGGGATGGGAAGGGGCTGGGGACGCTCCTGCAGAGGCTGAAGTCCTCTGGGGTTGAACGCAAAGGACAGCCCTGGATAGCAATGAAAGCCAAACCCAGCGCCCTAGGACAGCCCGCGTGCCCGGCTGATAAAAATCTCGTTTTCAGCCCCTAATGGGTGTTCGCGATGAAGTGTTGCGTTGGAGTCTCTGGTTCTCTCTGGCGTTGGCGTCGGTGCTTGCCGCATCGCCCGGGCGGCTGAGCACCTGCGTGTCGGGACACCCCACGAGCCGTTCCGCGGGTGTTTAATCCCTGCAGCTTCTCCCAGGCCGTTTTTTTTTTTTTTTAATCTTAATTAATGAAGAGTGCGTTCTAAATCCAGCACTGTCCTTTAATTATTCCTAGTATTTGATGACAAAAAACTAATTCCCAAATGATGAGATCAGACATTAAAGGCATGTCTCCCGAGTGCCAGGTCATTAATGTTTCTCTTCCCTCGGTCCGTATTTTGCCTGCTGTAAGCAGTTTTGATATAACAAGCTCGGTGACTGCATCAGCTGGCACAGTGGAAAGGCATTTACCAGCCACAGGCCACCGGGCTGCACTACGGCCTGGGAATCATTGGGAACTGGGCGTCTAGCTGTCAAGGTGCTCCACCCGAGGACCTCTCCCTCCGAAACACCCCGGGACATTGGGAAATCCAAGAGGGGAGCCGCTCCGAACGCTTCGGCTCATTGACTCACTTTGCTGACGCCGAGTTTTCTTGCGGCCGCCACGAGCATCCCTGCGGGTTCAGGATGGGAGGCTGGAGTGGTCCGGGGTGCGATAGCAAAGAGGATCCCCTCTGTATGGCAGACCCCCTTGTCCCATGCCCGTGGAGAAGGAGGAGAGGCAAGAGATGCCCGCCCAGGGAGCGGGATGCTCGGAGGAAAGCCAGCCCCGGAGCAGAGCGGGGTGCCCAAGCCAGCCACATCCAGTACCCCCATCACCAGCTCCCAGCTGAAGCTTTCCCTCACCCTGTGTCGTGCAAAACATGCCAGGCTAAAAACCCCACAGTACGAGGAATGAAAATACTCAGCTAACGGCTTCTGGAAGAGAGATTTAGATAGGGAGCTAAAAACATATCCCAGTTCAACTCAGCCGTCTTCTGTGCTCTGAGCTTTGGCCGCTGCTCATCCCATCGCTGAGCCCAGCGCGGGTTGCAAAGTGTGGAGGAGCAGCGAAAAAGAAATCCTATTGTGTCTTTGCCCAAGAGACAAAAATTCTTTGAAAGTTGTTCCACATTTCAGTTAATCAGGCCAGGGTCTACCTGCTACCTGCAGAATGAAAAGCTCAGCACCGACGGGATTGAAACTGTGCACTTGGGCATGCACAAATTAACGATGCCGCATCCTGCAATTATCCTCAGCGAGCTGCCAAAGCAATCACTGTATCCTAAAACACACCTGCAGCGGCCTGTATGGGCTTATCGATGCATAGTTGTTGCCATACTCAATACAGATGCAAATATTTGGTTACTAAGGCAGCAATGAACATTGCCACAGTCTCCAAGGAAGTACTCTGGCGTGTCTCGGCCGCTCCAGGTTAGTGGATGCTTCGCAGTCGCTCTCAGCACCTTTCTCTCTGGCGGCATCCCTGAGTTCACTCGTCTTTTCGGGTTGAACCTGCTGCAGAAGCTTTTGTTTCCAAAATATTTACGTGATCTCCGCAGAGAAGATCATGCCCAGCCCGGTGAGAGGGGATGAGGGATGTGCTGAAGGCAACCAGCCTGCCTCCATCCTTTGCATCCCCAGCTCACTGCTGGTGGGCTGGGGACAAAAGTGAGCAGACCCCCAGCAGCCGCTCTGTTTTGCGGTGTTGATGCACATAAAACCCCCAAATGTGGCAAAATGAGGTTTTTTACCTCCAAAAAAGCGATTGGAACAAAGGAATAGACCTGCAATGGGAGAAGGTGCTGGATTTAAGCAGCAGCTCTTACTTCACGTGAGCTGATAGAACTGGTAGAAAATATATGGGGGAAAAACCACTCTTTGAGGGGGAGAAGCCTCCTTTAAAGGCAATAAAGAACCTGCAGGGAGGAACAAATGCTGGTTTTATAACGACTGATGTAACTCATTCCTCCTGCATTATCAATAGCAGCCAACCTGCCAAACATTTTCTGTTTCTGCAGCGCGACGCGGTGACCGATGCAATTCCCGACACGATCCAAGGGTTTCCCTTATATGACTTGAAACGATAACCCCGGTGACTAACCCGGCCCTCTCCCCACCGCGCGACACCTCGGCGATGTGCAAAGAGCCGCAGCCTTCGTGTCTCCGTGCAAGGCCCGGGTGTGCGTTCGGTGGGGTCTGAGTCACCGGGGCAGCCGGCGCGTTCGTGCTCGTCGTCCCGCGTGCCCGGTGCGGGACACGGGCAGGCAGGGGTGGTTCCTGCTGCGATTGCTCAAGAAACAGCCCCGATGCTGCCGCAACCACGGGGAAAGGGGTTGGCTGGAGTTGGAAACGCTTTGCCGGCCGAAAATGCAGCCGGGATGTGGCAGGGCTCACTGCAGCAACTCATCAGCTGCTAATCCCGTCGCCCCACTGCTGCCCGCGCACCATCACATGGGTCTGGGTTAAAAACCAACCGTTTTGGGGACAGCACTGTTAAAAATTCCACTTATTTCAGCAGCTTGGTTTGCCCAAATACCCTTATTCAGGCAGCAAACTGCAGCGCAAGGGTAAGAACCCCAGGGGAGCCATACTAATCCCAGTTTAACCACTGAACCTTGCTGGTTGTTAAATGGCAGCTTCAGAAAGAAGGTACCTCTGGTGCCGGCAGAGTCCGGGGTGAATAAATCAGCCTTTTCCATCGCTGAGGTCGGTGAAGAGCGGGCCGGGGTGGTTCCCGCAGCCCAAGGGAGCAGGAAGGGGACGAGGGAGGGATGGCGCAAGTCGCCGGGGGCTTTGGAGGAGATGCTGCCTCACCGCCATGCCGGGAAGTCGGAGCCGGGGAGGGAGCGAGGAGCCGGAGCCGGGGATACGCAAAGGGTAGCTCAGTGGTGATCCACGTCAGCCCGGGCAGCAGCCTGTATCGGCTGGAACTCAGCACGCGGTTGCTGGGGGAAAAGAGACCCAAGGAAACAATAACTTTCCACGAGCGTCAGATGAACAAAGCTCCAATGTATAACCAAACCCGGGAAAATTAATATTAAAAAAAACCTAAGCAGATGTAGAGAGCAGTCCTGCGACAGTCCCTGGGGTTTGGGAGTGAAGGATGCTAACAAAGCAAAGGTAAAAATGGGCGTAAAAATCAAATCAAGGGTCCAGGCTCTCCAGCCCGTGTTTGGGTGAAGCAAATGAGAGCCAAAATAAACCCCGTGCATTATTATTGGCATCGCTAGGGGTGGTCACCGTTATTTAATTGCCGGATAGTTTCTGCGTTCAGAAATAGCACTATTTCCCATCCCTTTTCCTCCCTGTCCAAATAGGAAAGGGCTAATCAGTGCTTCATTATTTATATCTGCAATTGGCAGGCAGCGGAGAGCTCTCCGCAGCAGGAAGCGGAGGAATCCCTACAGGAATGTCGCCAGCCGCCGCCGCGCGTGGTATCATGTGCCGGACCGCGGCGGCTCGGCACGCCGTCGGTGGCAGCGGGTCAGCTCCGCGGTTGCACGAGCCCTCGCGGAAGAGGGATTCCCATTTCTCCGAGCCTAAGCCTAATTAATTGTAGCGATTAATTCAGACTGATTCACTTCCAGGGGCTGGGATGAAACCATAGCCCAGCGGCAGAGCGGGATGCTGGTGGTGACCGTACGCATCCCGGGGATGAGCCAAAGCCCATTAGGAAAAAGATTCATTGATTTAATGACCTTTGGATCGGGCCGCGGCGAATCCGGCCTCACCGCCGCGGCGATGGGCGCTGCCTAATGAGCGATCACGATGTGCGTTAATTAACTGGCCGGTTTATCGTTCCCTCTGATGTTTTCCTGCTTCCTTAAGGGAAAAAAAAATAAAATATCCCTTCTTGTTCAACAGGATTTTCCCAGCTGTTGCCCACGCGGTTTCTGAAATCACCCGGCTCTTTCCAGCACCGCTGCCTGCCAGCGAGGATGCCGTGTGCCTAACACACGGAAAATCGCCCAGATCTGGGAGAAACCTGCTCTTGGTTGGCTCCTGCCCCTAATAATCACCTTATCGTTGCCCGTTTTAGTCTGTTCTTGCACTCTGCGGGCCTTGCTGGGAATCCGCAGGGGGGTACACGCCGTGGAAACCTTTCCCAGTGAGCTGCAGTTTTTTTCTGTAACCACAGCTCTGTTTGACGCACGGAGGGACCCCAACGCCAGCCGCTACGGCCGTGCCCGGATGACCCAGGTATTGAAGATGTTTTCCCGTAACCTCGGCGATGAACACCGGTTACAGCCCACGTAAGCTGAGGCTGAAGTGTGTTTGTGCTGAGGGAGAGATAATCTTTTCGGGTGTTTCTTTGAGTCATCCTTTTAATAAAGTGCCTCCACCCAGTACCTTTAATTTTTTTTTTTGTCCAGGAGGTGCTGGGAAAACACGGCCTTGTAACACATTAACAGAGCCCTTTGAGGAGCCCTCGGTTACGGCCCGGAGCGCGGCTCGCGGGCGCCGGTGGATTTTCCGCACATGGATGCTGCTGCCCGCGTCGTTTCGTATAAATACCGCCCGTCTGTTTTCATATAAATATTACCTGGCAAAGCACCGTATTTTTTATTTCAAAACCTATCTGAGCGAATGGCGTTACTACAGCTTTACACCCGCGTTACCGGGAGTTTTCCGTGTGCTTCGCTTGCTCGCGAAGCATCGCTCCGACCCCGGGCAGCGCAGCGGCGTAATCGCATCATTCAATTAGACAATATCCTTTGATTGCCGAGCGGCTCCGCGGGCCAGGAACAGCAGCTGGGAATCGCTTATTTAATAAGTTAATTATTCCAATATCGATGTTATTTAGCACCGAGGCGGTTCGGGTGACAAAATTCACCCCTTATAATTGGATCTTCTCCAGCAGGTGACTTGCTGGAGGGACGCGAGCAGGGGCGCGGAGCGGCGTGGGGCAGAGCCACCCCTGCTCCTTGATCCCACGTTACCCCATCAACCGGGGGCCCCCAGCGCTACCGGTCCCCGTCACCCCCAAAATCCGCCGCCCCCCGCCACGGCGGGGGGGGGGGGGGGGGGGGGGGGGGCGGGGGGGGGGGG